AGGTGACCCTATACACCCCTCCCTCACTTTATTATGGCTCCTTATGGAAAGTGGTGTGATTATGAACCCAGTCCTCCTCAGCCAACAAATACCTGTGTGCAGCACGCTTCATAAAAAAAATATCTATAATCTTCCAGACGTTAATGGATGTAATGAACACCGTAGTTACATCCGCAGAGCGTCTTTTTGCTTCATCAGCACCCACATTGCATTATTCCTTCCCATAGATTTATTTGTCCAATTGGGTTAAATTACAGAGCTTCTAAACGGTGATTATAACAGGGATATTTTTAATACTTACAGTCTATTAACGTGGAAAACTCTGCGTGTCGTGGCAGGATCAATTATGGGAGGGAGCGCGTGGTCTTTTAATAGCAGCCTCTGCGCTTCACTGGATTGAAAGCATAGCAAGTGCTGCCGGTGACTCATGTTTGCACACTTCTCCCAAGAGGTTGTAACCTGGTTAGAAAAAGATGTATCCTCCTGGTGTTTTCACTTTTTTTTTTCATACCCCTTTCTCGTTTTAAAGTGAGTTAATTTTGGTGTAACTATCATAGGAGTCCCCACGTCTTGGCTGTCATCTGTATGCGCTCGTCGTCTCCAGTCCTGTGAAATTGTCCGGCAGCCAAGAGGGACGTCACTTCATCTAATCATAAAACTTTGCTGTTCTCAACCTTGTGGTCGCTTTCCTGAAACTGTTTCCCCACCCCCACCCCAAGGTGGACGCAAGCAAATAAGAATAAGCAGGGGCATTTAAAAAAAAAAAAAAGAGGGAATGCTTTTAGACTCAGCTTTTCTACTCTGTGCCTCCATCTAGTGTCCCGCACTAAAACCCCTCCGTAGATAAAGATGAATTAATAAAATACTTTTTCTACTTACTGATTCGCAATATATATATATATATATATATATATATATATATATATATATATATATATATATATATATATATATATAGTGTTTTGTTAAAAAAATGTTTAGATGTAATTTCTTCATTCATTATAAAATTTAGCAATAAATTTGTTCACTTTTCTTTGCATTTTTTTATTTCATTTTACGCATGCTTTTAATCCTTACTTTGGTTTTTTTATATATGAAAATTTACTTTCCCCCCCATATTATTACACTTATACGCAAAATTAGATGTTATATGTTTGCGTTTATTTATTAATTTTGATTTGTTGGGGGGCTGCGTGGTGCACAGCAAGAAGTTCCTGAGTTCAGCTCCCTGCTGTGTGAAGATTTCATGTTCTTTCAGAATAGAATAGAATAGAATAGAATAGAATAGGGTTAGTGTTGTCTTCTAATTAATCCCTTATTTGTCTCTGTGTCACTTTGTTGCAGTGTAACAGCAACAAAGTGACAGTCAAATAAGCACCTAGATTAAAAGCAGTAATCAGTATCATTAGCAGCATCAGAACTAATAATTTTATAAAAGCTCAACAGGCAATTTAGCAAGTCTCCCTCTACTCTGGGAAGAACCTTCATAAAAAGAAGAAGAAGAAGATGAAGGACATAATAGACATCTTTGAGAATCCTTTTCACAAGACTAATTCAATAAGCCTTCACTCAGAAGTGTCTCAAAAAAGTGACTCCTGTGGGTTTCTCTCTTTATCACTTATTGATTACTGATGAGAGGCGCCATCCGCCAGGTATGGATGCATAGACTTGTTGGCAGATTAACTAAAGCTGTAGACGCTGTTCTGTGCTCGCTTTTAATTTGAGCCGTTCCAGTTCATCGGTCTGCGTCTCGCTGTTGGCATGAAGAGAGACTCATTTCAGTGATTTATCTTTAAAAGTGAAGATCGATATCCACATGTCTGGAAATTCAGCATTTTAGACCCTGGTGTGATTCCCATTAATCAATCCTAATTCCTTGGATTTCCGCCAAGAGAATATTTTAATTATAAAATGAGGAGAAATATTGGCATGCTGAGTTAAATTAATTAAAATAATTACTCATGATCCGGAAAACAACCCTCATGATGAGCTTCGTCCTAAAGAGCCCTCTGGAAAAAAAAAAAAGTTCTGCCTCCGTTATATGAGAAATATTTATACAAGTTTGATTTTAAACTTTGGAGACATTATTTATACTGAAAAAATGCTTCTGTGTGGAGCTTTTCCTAGGAAGTTTGACGTAGGTATATCAAAATATTCAGGTAAAGATATACAGTACATAGCTGTCAGATGATACTGACTATTCTTACCAAGTTTCTTTCTTTGTTGCTTGAATAGTAGAAGGGGGACTTATTAAAACACATCAGTTTTAATAATTTTATAAGGTCTTTTTGAAGTGCTGAGTTTTTCTTAGATGTTGGACAAAACTTTTGACTTGTCAATCACAAAATCTTGCAAGGTGCATCTGGCTGTGGCCGGTTTATAATACTTTTTCTCATTTTTATTTACTTGTGTCACTCTTTAATACACATGACCTAATTTTCTTGAATGTGTGGATTATTTAACTTGGTATGAGAATCTGAATATCAACAGAAATACGATTACCAAGAAAAAGATAAAAGCTGACGCATTTAGTACTGATGTATGTTTTTAAAGTTTATATAGTAAACATGATGACATAATTGTTTTAAATGCGTAATTGTGACTTCCTTTTACATCGTAAATAAGCTACAGGGAAATGTCATTAAATTCTCCAAAGCTAGTTACTCAAAAAAAGAAAAAAAAAAAGTCAGAAAGCCAAGTTCGATTTTATTATTTTAATCCATTGAATTCAACACAGAGAAGGTCATATGCTGACAGGACTGATGGTTCCCTCCAAACTCTGGTACATCCAAGAAAAAAACAAAACAAAACAAAAAAAACGAGCAAACATGAGCAAGTCGGTGGAAGAGGGCAAACAACAGTGCTCAACATTACAACCCAACAACCCTTTCCAAGAAACTTCCCCAAATGTAAATCACTTCACAGTATAGCGTCGCATACGAAAACCTACACCTGACAAGGCAATGAAGAGAAATAATCCAACGTTCTGCCGTACGTGGGTGCGTCTGCGACCGAGTACAGTTATTAGCTTAAGTGAGTCTGGTGTTAATGAAGTTGTGTAAATAGGAAGATAAAGGGACAATACACAGTATCTTAAAACTTCTTTCACAGCACTAACACCGAGAACAGAGGACACATCATCAGCACACTGTGAGGGACTTCGTATACACACACAGAAGAGTTTTCATCAGGTCTCCGAAAAAAATAAAAAGCAAAAATCACCTTTTCACTTCTTTAAAGAGCCTTCATAGATACAGTGTGCTATCAATATCTTATAGAATAGGCAGGCAACGTGTATCCTTAAAACGTACAAATACATCCAATACAAAGTTGCAATCTCACATACACATTTACTATTTTTGGATTGTTGCAGGTGCAAATACATAAAAGAAATTGGGCGAATGATTGGCTCTACCCTGGCTACTATAAATACAGAGCTAACAGGATTGCTGCACAGAATGTGGACATCATCTGCTTGCAAACAGCAAAAAGGTCAGAAAGCACCAGGTGCAGAGAGGTCGTCAGCACAAGCCTCCAATCAAGCTTTCCCTTACGGTTCATCCGATTCCTGAACGACAGACGTCTGATGATGACCGGAGGCTTGTTGCCCTGACGACCCTCAAGGGAGAAAATAAAATATTGGAGGGAAAAAAAAATAAAAAATTTCACATTTCTCAATTTCTCACAGAAGACGTCCCGGGTCGACCTCGTCGACTCCAAGTTTCACAGCAACGTTGAGCGAGCGGATTGACCCCAAAATACCTTTTTCCTTTTCCCTTTTTTTCCAGTGCATTTAACATTTTACGACATGTACCATCCATTAAAAAAAAAAAAAGAAATAAAAGGAAGAAGAGAGTGCAACTGTAGCAAAACAGAAGAACACAACACCAAAAAACAAACATCAAATACTGCAAGCTTAAGAAAAACTAAATCCACCACTGCTAGAAACTTAAAGACGACCAAACGCTGTCGATAAATCTTCCTGTCAGAGTCAGCAGTGGGCCGGTTACCGGCTAAAACATTGGGTCATATTTGTTGCTGCCTACTGCTGGTCAGCTGGTTGGAAAAAACAAACAAACAAAAAAAAACCTTCTACGATTTTCCTTCGCTTACAAGAAAAACAAAATTTGCCGTTTGCAAATATTTAAGCTTGTGAAGAAACATGATCAGTCGACGCTAAAGCAGTGTCATCCATCACTTTCATTAACCCAACAGCGTTTTAAAACTGCAGCGGATCTGAGTAGCATGTCAGTGAAGCAGCCCACTGCAGGTCAGCTGTCGGAGCAGACAACCCCACTAAGTAGAATCACACCTAATTTTAGGTTGTTCAGTCAGTGTTAATCTAAAAAGACCAGAATGACAAAAGGTAGTTTTTTCTGTCATTCTTTTCCTTTAATCTTTAAAAACTAAATAGTTCTTTAAATGTGTGAGACTTTTGTCTTTTAGCTATAACATTTGGGGTTTAATGTAATGTTCTGAAGGAGAAATGTATTCTTTTATTTTAATCCGAAAAGGCAACGGCAACCTGGTGTTGTTCCTGTCTAAATAAGTATGCATTAATCGGGGTGTAATCATAATTAGAAAGTGCGATTCAAAGCTAATGTTAAACAAGACTTAACTTTCATTATTTTTGTTTAAATAGATATATTAAAAAGAAAAACCTATGACACAGATAGATTGTAATTTTTTTCCTTCACATAATCCAGATCTATTGTTAAATTTCAATTTTAATTAAAAATAAAAACAAAATAAACTGATTTCCACGACTTCATAATATTGCTGTACATTTTGCATTTCATTTATACTTTTATGTGTACCAAATTATTTTGGCGAATATTTTGGCAAATGTCAAAGAAATCAGAGAAGCATTTCACTTTTCGGACCGCGGGCGGTCCTGTACTGTTTAGCCAAAAGTGGTTCTTTAACACAACCATCAAAACTATCTGCTATAAAAACACAAAACTGAACATTTGCTTCGGTTAGAACGTCATGAAACTGCCTCCTAATCAGCGTTCTGATCTATTCTTGGAACAGCTTTTAACACGGAGCAAAGATTGAAAAACAATGTAAACAAATTACTTCCTCAATGAGCAAATGAAGATAAAAAAAGCTTTCCCTAAATTCGCTCTCTCCTACCTCGATGCAGAAATGTGGCAGGAGATGTTAAACTACGTGAAACAGTGCCTGTTTTTTCTTGAATGAGGTGACATGGTGGAAATGTTAGAGTAAAAATGGATAGAAAGGGTGCAGGGGAGCCAGAAGTGAAGAGAGATCTGATGAGATGTGGTTACTCGTGGCATCTGGTCCCGTGATCCTCCTGCGGCTTAATTGAGGAGCCTAGCCGAGGCTGGTGATGTTTGCTTTTCCACCAGGGGGCGCCACAATGCGTTGAGTGGTGCGACGTGGAACGTTGTCATCTATCTGGGCGCCTTAAAGGTAAATCGAACAGGAAGTTGACTGGAAGGTTTCAGATTAACTTGCATGAGATTCAAAGAGGAGCTGCATTCATGCGTCGACTCACCGGACAGGCTGAAGCCAGACTGGTGGAGGTTGCGCACTGGCTGATGAGTGAACTGCTGTTGCTGCTGTTGCTGCTGCTGCTGCTTGGCGGGGGACGTCTTCATCGAAGAAAACGTGGACATCACCTTCGGAGTGACGGTCACCTCACACACTGGCCCGTCGTACTGGCCCCTGGGGACTCCTCGCAGCTCTGTGAGCTAAACGAGATGGGGAACTTCGTCAGAGAAAACGGTCTACAGCCAACACTAAATAATGCATTTGAAATGTTCTTTATCCCAGGGACTAATTATGTCACAAACAACTAAAAACAAGAACTGGGTGAACATGCTGGAATGTACTGAATCAGCATCATGCTGAGGGTCCATTTCCCCAGCACTGCACAAATACTGAATGATAAACAAGGACTACTGACAAAGTGTTTAACTTCAGATCAAATCAACAGCCAGATGATTGAAACTTAAAAAAAAAAAAAACTTAAATAAGGCCGAAATGATTAATCGATTATTGAAATAATGCAGACTAAAAAAATACAACTTGCTAAAAGAAAAACACAATTAGAGCAGCAACAATGCAAAAACAGTACAATAAACACATATGTATTGCTTATAAGATGAAAAACTTGTATACATTTCTATAAATATCCATCCTTTACAAAAATATTAAGCATATGCTGAAGGAATGCCATTATTGCATTTTAGGCCATAAAATGTTTATTTTCTCATTTAAAAAAGGGAATTAAATTGTTGCATTTTAATCCCTTTAAATTTTTTTTTATTGCTGCAAAATGTATGCATTTTGCATACAACTTTATTTCATAAAATAAGCCAGTGTTTAAATGAAAAAAAAATCTACGGAATGTGAAACATTTTTTGTTAGATTAATCAATTAATGAACAGAATAATCAATTACTAAAATAATCGCAAGCTGCAGCTGTGAACTTAAAACACGATGTTTTTAGGCCATTGATCCACAGCATACATCAGAACCAGCCTCGCTTTGACGAGCTCTACCAATTCTGATAAAGAGTAGAAAAACATCCATCAAGATTTAGGCCAAAAACTTGTTGATTGCTACATAATCCATGTGGTTTCTGTGCAACTTGCTAAGGTATCAGTCAAAAGCCTCAAATTAAAATAACATTCAGAATGTTTGTGAAAACTTTCTCTACAGCATGAGCAGAGTGATTGTACAGAGGAGCTTGTGTGTTTAAATAAAAACCCACCCTGCTGCGGGCCTTTATCCTCTTGTACACGTGGTCCGAGAAAGGTTTGCGGCTGATGTAGCGCCCGCAGCCCTCTGTGGTGTGGAGCGTGCCCTCCTCCAACACAATCTTACCCTGGCTGATGACCACCAGAGGACCCCCACGCACCTCTGTCCCTTCAAAGATGTTGTACTCTACAGCCTGTGACATGAAGAGGCTTGATTAGCAACTAGCTGCCTTACAAGGCAATGCAACAGGTGGGAAACAAAGAAAGAGCGGGAGGAAGAAAAAAAAAAAAAAAGGACAGGCTAGTTAAGAGTCGGACCAGGTTGTGGCTCTTGGCCGAGATGATCTTTGTCAGATCTGGGTCCCACAGCACGAGGTCAGCATCCGAACCCACGGCGATGCGACCTTTGCGGGGGTACAGGTTGAAGATCTTGGCTGCGTTTGTGCTGGTTACCGCCACAAACTGGTTCTCATCCATCTTTCCAGTCACCTGTTAAAGGCAGGGCGAGTAAAGCAAACACGATGACAGCAGATGTTTTAAAGGACTGATTTTCTAGTCTTATAAAATAAGATCCCCCTTACCACACATTTGTCCCAGACAAGAGACATCCTCTCCTCGGTGCCGTTGGTGCCTTCTGGAATCATGGTGAAGTTATCTTTGCCTACTGCACGCTGGGATGTATGGAAAGTGCAGTGAGCACTACCAGTGACCTGCAGGTCCCCACTGGAAATGTATACAGAAATCAAAAAACAATCTATTTGCCTCACTGACAGACCTGCTCTAATTATCTAATTATCAATGAATTACAAGTCCACAAAGGGTGCATCATTAACAATTTGGATAAATAAGAGCTTGTGAGTGAAAGCGAGGTGGAGTTCTGCACGTCGTGCCGCTGAGCTCCAGCTTTTATTTTAGCTCCTGACTCTTTGTGCCTACCATGACAGCAGAGAGTTGAGGTAGTCGGGGGTGGTGGGATCGGGGCTGAGCGGCGGCGAGGTGACAAAGGCTGCTGCCTTGGCCCAGTTCTTACTCCAGTAATGGGTGCCATCTGTGCCCAAGCTGGCAGAGATGGGCTCTCCGTAAACCACAGCACCTGCAGGAGCAGACAGATTAACGTCAGTGCACAGAAAAAAAAAAAGGATCAAAATAAAGAGAGAAAGTTTCTCCTCTCCTCTGTTTTTTTTTTTTTTTTACCCTTTTTCCGAGCGAGAGCAATAACATCGGCTGCGCTCTTGCTCATCACCTTGGTGATGTACAGGGGGCAGTTGGTCTGATTGGCTATGGTGACCGAGCGGTTAACGGCCTCGGCCTCCACCTGTGGGTAATGACAGGCGCACGCAGGGGTCTCACACACATGAGTCTTGTGTTCTGAATTTAGAGCGTTTGCTGCTTTTATCCTCCAGCAATACGGTGAGGAGCCTTACCTCCTCTGGACGGCTAAGTACGTGGCCTTCAGGACCGGCGATGCCCAGCTCTAATATGCGTTTCTGCTCCTGAAACAGCCAAGCGAGGCAGTTAGAAAAAGAAACGAGACATATAAAGAAGACTTTATATGTCTTACCTTTTTAGATTTTGGCAAAAATGTCAATATATGTTTTTCACCTTGCTTTACAAATAAAAAAATAATCACAAAAGGATCCATTTGTATTCAATTAATCCTTTGTAGAGCCACTTTTTACTGCAAGGTAAGACTTTAGAGAAGCGTTGTACATGTAGAGTGTGACATTTTTGGCCATGTTAGTGTGAAAACAGCTGGAGCTCAGTTGGGCCGAATCTGAAGATTCACTTTCAAGTCACAGATTCTTTAATGGATTTTTTTTTGTCATTCCAACTATTTTTGCAGCTTTTTACAAGATTTCTTCCAGGATTGACCTTCATCCATTTTCCTATCTGATTTGACCTGCTTGCCTTTCCAACATCATGAGACTTTCAATACCAAGGGTCACTGTGGAGATGTTCGTATTCAGAGGACAGCTGGGATTAAATGACATTTAGGTGACCTGTGCTTAGTAGTTAGGTGAATGCTTGAGCTGGTTGCACTAGATTTTATTTAGGGGTATTAAAGCAAAGGAGGCTGCAACTATGCAACTAGAGGTGCACCGATTGCAGTTTTAAAGTCTAACTGGCTGATTACTATTTTGGCTGACAGATATTATTTTATAACTGGAACTGTTGCCAAAATCTCCAAAAATACAGAAAAAAGTCTCTAGATTTGTCTCTAGTTGTTTTTGTTTTTTTTTTAAAAAAAAAGAAAGATGCAAGAGACGTCTGAAAAGTTGCTAAGTTGGAAGCAGCGAGGTGACTATTGTTCACCCAAACATGCAGACATGACCTGATGGGCGGGTCTGTCAGTGAGCCCTCTATTACTGCAGAGAAAACTGTGATAGTGGCTGATTTTCAGACCTTTGTTGAGGAAGATATGATTAGTTTAACAGGTAAGTATTGGTTGATTACTCAGAATTAAAGAAATTGGTGCAGATCGAATGATTCACCCCTATATGCAACACTTCTCAGATTAATATTTGTAAAAAGTTGCTGCTCTTTTCCTTTTACATAAAATCCTAATAAGATATATTAAAGTTTGTGGTTGCAAGAAAGCAAAATGAAGGACACTGTAGTGGTCTTACCTCTGCAACAATGTCTCCGTTCTCGGCGTGAACCTGAGCGATGGCTCCCAGGTCTCTGACGACACTGAACACCTCATAGATCTGCAAGAACGAGATGCGCATCAGTTAACCGAGAGGCGTCAACTACACCCAAACCAACAGGCAACCTTTGAAGTGAAATGCTGCTACAGAAAGGTCAGCAGAGATCCCTCTGAGGTGGGCCACAACCAAAGCATACCTGAGAGTCAGAAAGCTGGAAAACATCCTTATAAGCCAAATAGACCAGGAAAGAGTTGACACCTGAAGATAGAAAGCTTTATGAGAGAAAACGGCCAAAAGGCGGAAAAGAGGGCAAAGGAGGGAAAACTGAGAGCAAACTGGGAAAAAAACTAAGATAAAACAAAAGAAACAAGCAACATTCAGTTAAGGGTGATCATTTAAGGGTTGACCACAGTCAGAGGAGCAGCAGATGTTTGAGAGAAAGCAATCAGCGTGTCCTACATACCGTGATCCTTCACTAGCGTCTCCATCTCCTCCTGGGTGCTGTTATTCCACTCAGCGATGTCCACGTGCAGAGAGTAGTCACAGCAGGACTTGCTGTCAGCCCACTCTCTCCACTGTTTGAAAGCAGTGACCAGGCTGACACCGGGCTCCGGTACCACATGGTCGACTAATGAGGGCCGCAAGGAAAAAAAAAACAACAGAAAAACATGTTAGTATTTTGCTTGTGGAACAACAACAAGCATCCAAAGGAAATCATACGCTCGGCAGCATGGACGTCCGCACGTAACTGATCATGGTTGTGCCGCCAGCCAGCGCCGCCCGGGTGCCCTGGTAGAAGTCGTCCGCCGCCACCATGCCTCGGTCGGGCATCTGGAAGCGCGTGTGCACATCAATGCCCCCCGGCATCACCATTCTGCCGTGGGCTTCTATGATCTTGACTCCGCCCGGGACAATGAGGTTGTCTCCAAGTTGCCTGAAGGAAACCACAATACAAAAGAACAGTGGGAACTTGAATCCCTGTAGCAAGTTTTGTGACATGTGTTAATGGTAACCCCAAAGCACAACTTACTTAATGACTCCATCTTCCATGTAGATATCAGCCAAGAAGGACTGATCATCGTTCACTATCTTTGCTCCCTTGATGAGGAGACGGTCACTCTGAAACAAGATTTGTCTGTAAATCAAACATATTCTCCTTTTTTATGATCCAAGAAGCCAAAATGTCTAATAGTGTATTTCACTTTGAACCTGGTAAACCAGTGAATAAATACATATTTAAGCACTTTAAGGTCCTTGCATACTTAAAAATAAAATTCAAGCATTTTCAAGGACTTCAAGCACTCATAAGAATTACCTTTTTCAACCAAGCAGTTTTCCTTCCACTAAACTTTCTGTCAAGATCCTTTGATAAGCAGTATAAACACTCCTAGCTTCTTCAGTGATGGTCTTCTCTTGCTTAACCTCCTTTTAGAGCTGGACAATAAATCAATAACAATATATATTGCGATAGAAACGTAATCAATCTTAATAGCTAAAACGTCTGAAAGAATATTCAGTACATAGAATGTTCACTCAACTCTGATCCAGAACCGCACAGCATTCTGGGAGATGGAGGCAGAGAAAGGGCTCTAGCTGCTCAACGCTGGTGGTGGCAACAACTAACTTGCTCGCTTTTTGGTTACTTAGCAACAACCGATTTGCAGCAGCAGTTTAAGGTTTCGCTACCGTGAGTCATAGCTGCTTAATGTTAAAGATAAAAAAACAATGAGGAGTAAAAACTGTGGATAAAAAGAGAAAGGTCACACCAGCCGTTTAGAAGCAGCTCAGATATTTAGAACAAAAACAAATCAATCGACATTGACAAGTTTAGATAGACTGATATGAAATACTTATATCATGACAGGTTTTTCAGCCCGACCTCGTTGTACAGCGAACATCCATGATCGTGTTGGAAAACTGTCAAGTCAGTAAACTACAATTTATCCTTTAGACCATTAATTCTGAAAACAAACTATTCAAGATTACTTTGCAGGACATATCAGTCCTACCTCATTATACAAAGGAGGAGAAATCTTTGATCAAAACCATGAGGTAAGAGCAGAGTCTCCTATGCCACAATTGGCTCCAACCGAATGAGATGAAAGAAAAATGCAGCACGCTGTCCTACTTCCTCTTCAGGCTTTCTGGGCCCTGTGAGGGAGGCATTTAAACCTAATGAAGGCGGTATATGTATTCTCCAGGGCTCACAGCAGGAAATGTTTGGTTTTTCAAGGCTGTAGCCATGAGGAACTCGAACACATTAGGTACAGAAACCACAGATGTGTTGTCGGGATTTGGGTTATACAGCTTTAACGTTTTGGACTAAGTGGTCAGCATTAGGAACACAAAGTTTCACATTTAAAACTATTTTTAATTAAAGATGGTGCATTCAAAGTCTCCATAGATTTACAGCTATAAACTGAGCAGTTTTACTATGACATTAGCCTACCAAGTAAAATGTTGAGCAGCCTGTGATTTAAATTTGAGCAAAAACTGCTAAGTTTACAACCTTACTTTAAACCAGAGTTTATCAAGTTGAGATGGTTAAGGAAACCCAATATGACAGGAAAAAAAAAAGATGATTACAAATGAATGACTTAAAATGCAGGGAGCCTCATTACTACCTGATGCATATGGTGTCATTATTAGCACATCGAATTAGAAAACTGCACCAATCAATCTACCAGAGATCAGAAATGGATAATTACCTCTTAATTGGCAGGTTAAATACCAAAAACAAAAATCTGCTTTCCTCCCCAGTGCACTGAATGCATCAAAACTAATAATTTTCACAATTTCTGACCTGTAGATCCAACAACCAGCACTTTGTGCGTTTTTTTTTTTTTTAAGAAAAAAAGACAAAACTTAGGGACACATGATACGATGCACAATTAGGGGAAAATGTGTAAATTATTTGGGGTTTTTTTTTTGTTTCAAAACTGTATCTGTGGAAGAATCTTTTTACGTGCCATTAGAAAAAAAATATGATTTTGCAGAAAATTGAGTATTGTCTTTAATTTTAACAACAAAAAAAGTTGCTATGAAAGATAAAGACTGTTACAGTCTAAACTTGGTGTTTCGTTCTTCACTCTGTCCTGACACCAGACCCTGAAGGCCTCTAACACAGAGTTGTAGTCTCCATACTTAGTCTGGTATTTTCCTGCCGTTTGCTTACAACCCTCAGCTGTCCTGAAGATGTCCTCAAACGACGTCAATGAGCTGAGCAAATTAAAGCTACTATCCAGTGCTGCTGAGTAACAAACTATAAACTGCCACAGCGAGTTTTCACAAAATATTAAGATTTGAAAATGTAAATAAGACTGGTAGCTGCTGCGTATGCGTTTAGGCTGATGACATCACAAGAGGCACCAGAATAATACAGATGATCAATTACCGTTAGTAAACACTATGGCAGACGAGCAACCTTTAAAATAATTAAATCGACTCTGAGGCATTCATGTGACATTTAAGCAGGGTGTTCAACCAACAGTGATGGTCTCCAATAGCTACCAACCCATGATCAATACTGCTGTGGGTGGCGAAGCTAAAGCAAACGCTTCTGATCGTCTGCAGAACTTGAACTGGTACAAATGTGCATACACTTTGTAAAATGAGTAGATTTTACAAGTGTTCTGTTTGTATTGTCTTACATTCATGATTTGACAGTTCAGTGACGATGCAAGCATTTTGAACACATAATACTTTAGCTTACATTGAGAACTTACATGTTTTAAAAATAATTTCAATTGAACAGGCCATGTAGTTTTTTTTGTTTTTTTGTTTTTTTTAACTGGAACAACTTAGTTCAAAACAGTCAATGAAAATGAAAACTGACCTGGTGTACTTCACAAACTGATTAAAGTCAAAACCTTTAAAAGAAGGAATCCAAATAAGTCTTGCAAGTATAATAATAAAAAAAAACCATGAAGGAAAACATTGCCACATTCAGTAGACTTCTGATCTGCTGTCTCCTGCTGTTTGAGATGACACCAGAGGCAGGTTCTGCATCTGAAGTTTGACTTATTTTTGCAGAAAAGTCTGGCCAGTAGTTCTAAAGTCCACAGCTCTGACTGTGACAGCTACATAATGAAGACATGGCTTCTGCAGAGATGCTTTCTGCTGACCTACTTTACCAGGGGGGTTAGTTCTCTTACAATTAAATACAGTGGAACCCCATTCACCTGATGTTATGGATGAAGATTTTTTTTAAATCTTACATAAAGAAGGCTAAATGTTGACAGTTTAACATAAATAGAAAGAAGACGAAGAATGACAGATGAAATGATGGCTATGAAGGAATCTGTTTTTTTAACCTGGTAACTACACCAGAGGTTGAGGAGGCTGGGAACAAGGGACACCTTCACTTACACACACAGGTGCATTTATGATAGAAGGTAGCTTCAAGTGACAAATCCAGTGAATTATTCTTATTGTTCATCCCTGACCTGGAGCTGATGAGGAGCTGTAGCACAGCTGCTGCTGACAGCGTCAATGTAAATGAATGGTCGCAGCAGCTAACAGCTAGCTTCCAGCTGATTCTTATCCACGCCGCACTTAAAAGAGACAGATGAATAAAACAGACACGTATCACTCACTGTAATTTTGGGGATGTTCTTCTTTCCTTGGTAGCCGGACATGTTGAAATTCCCCCCAACACCGCTGCCCCCCTGGTTTTAGTTGAGGCTAACGCTAGCTGCCTATAAAAAAAAGGATGAATGGATGGATGCTCTGCCTCTCGGCCAGTCGACGCCCCGGCTCAACAATGTCTGTCCCGGACTATTTATAACGATAGCCAGCTAAATGTGCGTTGGGTAGTCAGGATAAAGCTGCAAATTGAGATTTGCTTTTGCCTAACAGTGGAGAATCTCTATATTTACGGCTAGACCAGGTCTCTGCAGACCATAAAGCCACCAAGAAGACAAGGGCCACAAAGAGGGACGGAGCATGCGCACTCCCCCGCCCTGAACATCTTACTGGTCCACGATCCGGATCCATGTTGCCGTCCCTATGACAACATTTAGGTTGAAATACAAATGTTATTAATCCTACTAAAACAATCTGACAGTGATTCATTTATCCAAAATAACGTTTGAGCTAAACTAGCCCTTTTAATGGGTGTCATGTACAAGCATAATTACTTTTCAATGGGGTAAAAATAAACTAATTGACAAGTAGGTAATATAGGACAAAACCAGTTATCAACATCTAACAGCAAAGATTAATTATGTAAATTATGTAAATGTCATGATTTACATTTCTGAAATGGTTTTCCCAAGTCAAGTGTGTTACCAAGTGTGTTTCCCAAGTCAGTATTTTAACTAATTTAGTCTTAGTGATTGGATTGAATTAAATTTGTAAATCTTCATAGTATTGGAAACGCTTTTAATTTTGTTTTTCTTTTATATGTAATTTATCTGTTTTTATATGGATTAAAAGGAAATTGGATTATTTTATCCGTCAGACAGGAGTAGAAAAATAGGTAAATATGACAAGCAATGTAAACTACTAAAATGTGACAAAGTAAATTTTAAGTAATTCTGGCCAAAAGCATAGGTCTGCATCACTATACTCTTCTCTTGTTGTCTCCCTTTGTCTTGCTACAATGGCTAACAAACAAAAAGAAAAGCATAAGAAAAGATTGCAGTTGTGTTTCTGGCATTATCTCTATCAGCAGCCTGGTGCAACTCTTGCTTTGCACCAAGAAGTTTCTGGGTCCAATCTGCAGTCTTTCTGCATAGAGTTAGCATGTTCTTGCATATCTGGTTGTCCTCCAGTTAATCATGTTTTCTTACCCAGTCCAAAAACCATGCGTGTTAATGTAAATGGTCTCTCTAAATAGCTGAAATGTCTAAATGTGTGCATTGTTTTCCGTCTTGCTTCTCTCAGTGCTGTTCACTTAAGTAAGCTAGGTTTCAAGCTAAATTTACTTCCTGTGCAACGTTTCTTCCAAGATGCCACACTCTCAAGTAATTTTTTTTATCTTAATCACTATTTTTTCTTTAAAGTTTTGCTTTTGCAATCTCTAGTTCTAACCATGACAGCATGCTGTGCAGTTTGTGCTCTTAGAAAAAAAAGTAAACAAAACAATGACAAAATGAATCATGTTAGGTTGTCATTGCAATAATAAAAATTTATATAGAACTTAGCTGTTTTATTGCTTATATATCATGCAGCCCAAGTTCACACAGGCTAAGGGTGGTAACCATATTGCATTTTGAGATTCAGGGTTATTGAGAAACCTCCGGCTTTCCCATTTGTAATATGAAGTTATGATTACTGTATGAATCACATTTAAATTCCAAAATGCTCTTCACTCCACACAGATATACTGTACATAGATCTGTAGTTTATGAGCTGGCCACCTAAATCACGCATTACAGCTTAGAACTGAAACCAAAACGGACAATTTTGTAAATTGTAGTTTATATTTTAATATGGTTATTATCCATCAACAGAGGAGCCATGCAATGAGCATTAACATACAGAAATGCATACTTTATCTGTAATAAACGATTTCTATATCATCATACTCGATGGTCCACAGACACTGTACATAATATAGCATATATTAGGTGAAATTATTGTACAGTGAAACCAAGATTAAAGTCAGATAACACTTCAGAAAATATCTTCCTCTGTGGTGGTGATTTGTGCAGCTAAAGCCCTAGCAACCCTAGCAACTGAGCAAAAACACAATACTCACACTGCCACAATGCATAAGAAACACTGAAATAATGCATTAATAATCAATGTATAAACAAGTTATACAATGTTGAGAGGTGTACATAGCACAGGGAAGGTCACAGCTTAAATTAATATTCACATGTACATAATTAAATATCTAAACATATTAGAAAACAAAACAAATCAGAAAGCATAAGATAGGCCACCAATGTGCAGTGGTGAAAGGTAAATGTTTTGGCACTTTGCTACTGCTCCTATATGTAAAAAAAAAGGGATATGTTAGAAAAAAAATACATAAAAGAAGTAGCTTTTGGCCTGGTATATTATCTTCCAATCTAGATGCCACTATAATAAAACATTCCAACTCTTCATAGTAACATTTTTGGGACAAGATAGTAGGATAATGTTTAGGCTTGGCAACTCAACAAAGTTTATATAGAAACCCTCTGGGGATCAACGTGTTAAGAATACCATCCTCAAAATTGTGCGAAATTAAAAAAAAAAGAAAAAAAAAAAAAAAAGCAGTGCTTCAGCATTCAGCTCTGAACAGCAGTTCACTGCACCTTGACAGTAAGGCCCTGTTCACAGTAGACAAAGACAATGTTAAATATCAACCAGAACATTCATCAGAAACCTCCCAATTCTGCAGATTGTAAAGAGGAATCCTAGATCATCTGAAGCACATGGCAAAAGTACCGGATAACAACCCAGCAGGAAAACCTATGTCCTAACAGTAGGAGCACATTAAAATGCGGTTTTCCATCTTTGCCGCAATCCAGCGGCATACAAATGATCCTAAAACGCCTGGAGATTGCAGGGTGGCCTTAATCTGGTGTGAAGTGGGCCTTAAAGTCACAAACTTTCAAGCTATCAAAGTCTCTCCTGTTCCCCAAAGTCAATTAGTTCATAAAGCAGTTATGGCGTAAATAACATATGTTTTCCTTTCTGCTTTTTAGAACACCTAAAAGAAAACTTGTAGCCCTGCAGAAATACCAGAATCGATATGTTCAATATCAAGACACAAAAGGAAACTTCAACTGGATGCCACCTGACATAAGGTCCGTGGCAAGTTAGATTTTGAGTTAGATTCAAGTCGGTGACTCGCGTATACGATAAAGCCCCACCCCGTGTCAAAATCTGGTGGAGTGCAACCACATAATTAATCAGCATGACTACATCTACAGTGTGACACCAGTTAATGCAGATTGGAAGAGAAAGACGTGGGCGTAGGACAGATGCACACAGTGAGAGCTTGACTTCAGGAGGCGTTTGGGAGGCTTGGAGACAGGAGAACACCCAGGCACTGCTTCATCTTCTGCTCAGTAGGAGCTGGTGGCAGCTGTGGCAATTCTTTTCCCAATGTACACCCTAAAATAAAATCATCAAACATGTGAAATAGAACGACTTTTTATTATTATTAAAAATGAGAAAACATAGGACAAATAATTAAAACAAAGATAAGTAACTTTATTCATACAAGGCGCCTTCCATATCTGACTTAAACGTTATTTTAAGTCATTTCTCTTCTCTAGTCCCTCTTTGTGAAGATAGACATATAATTTGCATTGTTGTCCTGTTAGTAATTCCTACATCCATGCATAAAAATATGATGTTTGAGAAAATATTAGCTATGAACTAAACAAGAAAAGCAAGCACAGAAAAAAAAATCCCCAAAATATTTTAAAACTACTAACAGATGACCCATCTTACCCAAGGCCAAGAGCCAGCATGTGTGAGATGAGCAGGGAAGGAATGAAAACTTTTAGGAATTCAGCAGAGAAGATGCCACCTTTCTTCATGACGCCGCTCTTCCGCATACTCAGAGACACTGAACGTCGGGGATGTCTGAAGTGGAACTCCCTGAAAAGAACAACCAGTTAACGTTGTTTCTGAGACCACTGAGGGAGAATATCCCGATGGGCAGCTGATTCTGAGCTTGCCAGCGTACTAACTTTGGGGGGATGTTTTCAGGCCTACTGGACCAATTGGCCACCCAATCAACTTCTTTGTTCATCAAGATGTCATCATCTCTGTCCATGTCTGCAGTATCGTCCTCTGACTGGAAATGTAAAGGCAAAAAGATGTGGAAAGAAATCCTGCCCCAAAAGACTTTAGTAGAGTCTATGTTCAATATGTCGTTTTAAAAGTTTTTCTTGCATTTGTATTCTTCTATCCTGAGTCAGTACTTTGCAGAACCACCTCACCTTTTGCTAGAATTACAGCTGCAAATCTTTTGAACTACATAAGTAGCTTCTACTTGACATCAAGCAAACTTTCCATCTACCCATTATCTATACCTGGATTTATACTGAGACTAAATTACACATATGTTGATGGTATTTCATAATTAGGGATTTCTGAGTGAAATTGCTTGCACTGGATTTTATTTTGGGCCATCAGAGATAGTTCTGGGAAAAAATTAACAACCATGTATTCTACCTTTACAATTAAGACCAACTTTGTGCTGGTCAATCACATATAGTGATATGTGTCACATGGACATTTGTCGTTTGATGTTATAAAACTTATAAAAAAATGTTCCAGAGTTGCTAATACGTTTGCCAGGTATCCCTACCTGACTGCCTCTTGGACTGGACATCTCCACATCAAATGTTATCTGGCCATCATCCTGTGCGGAACTGGGTGGTCTGTGAGGACTGTGAGGGGTTGGCAATAGTGTATATTAACAAAAAAATCAATACTTAGGTTTTACTGAAAATAGTAAAGGAAATGTGTGGCCTACCTCTCACAGGATGAATTACTTGGGCTGGACTCATGCTGAGCATCCAGAAGTATTTTTTCCATGTCTCCGTTGTGGATAGAAGATGACGATGGCACATGTTCCAGTCCTCCAATCAGGGTTTCGTCACTTTCACCCTCTTCTAAAGGGGGGAGACTTTGACTCATGCCTGCATTTGCGTTGATTTGGTCTTCAGCAGGTGGCGTCAGCTGGCTGGTCGGCCTGCTCTCTGCCCCTGTATTACCATTCAGCTCCAGCTCTACCCAGGAGCCTTTGCAACACAACGATAAAACCACCAAAATTAAGGGAGAATAGGTTTGATGTGTGTAGATGCAACCCAATCAACAGCACAGTTAACACTAAAGTCATCTTTCACATGAAAACCTGTTGACCTAAAGTGCATCTCAACAAACTGGAACATCATCAAAAAGTTACATTTGGTAATAAGTATTTAAAAAGTTTGAAACATATTATGTGCTATATCTAAAATATTTTATTTTGTTAAATTTAATGACAATGATTA